ATATATATATATATATATATATATATATGGCATGTAACTAGGACGAAGCTAGAGTATAGCGTATGGGTATGGGCAGACCCAATAAAATTTTACTTAGACCTTATATTTATATTAGAAAATCTATTAATGTATGTATATATACATACATATATACATATATATATATATATATAAACGTTTGTTATTTTAGTTGTGTTCCTTTACCACTACAGAATTTATAGTTTTTATGTGTGAAACAATAAATTGACCAACATCTTTAACTCTATCAATTTGGTTAAAGAGATGCCAGTTGGTTTGGAACACTAAATATATACCTCACTTGAGTCAATTCTTTCGTTTGTCCTTTTTTATTTTTTGAATGGGTCATCATCTCCATTTTAAGCATGTTTTTAAATTATTCGATTATGGGATTCATAGGCTTAAAGTGGACATATTTTTCTCTTAAGTTTACATTTAATTATTATATTTAGTCTTGACAAAACGTTTTACTTTCATTTAGTCTTCTTTTTTCTTCCCATGGTGGTAAATAATGGTGTATAAGGAAAACCGATAAATTGCACCAAACCCAAAATATAATTCAAATCGAAAAAAAAAAATTTGGTAATGTTTGGTTTGATTTGGAGCACTAATTACATATTTTATGATGTGAGGACCTTACAGGACAGAAAAAATCTAGAAAACAAAAAAAACTGCAAAAAATCGAGATTGAAAAAAAATGAGTTTTGTTGGTTTGGTTTATAAATTTAGCATACGGACACTATTAATTTGGTTTAATAAATGAAAAAATTTAGGTAACCCAACTTATGTACACCATTGCTACTAGTTAAATAGACAAGTGATTCAATTTATTATTTCGAGGTGTTCAAAAGTATACTGCAGCATATTTTCCTTTTTTGTTTGTTTGGAACCAATTGGCCGAGGGGAAGACATTGTCAAGTAGAAGATTAAATATAAAAATATTAAAATATGAAACAAGAGTTATAGAATGAATTAAATGAGAACAAAAATCTTATTACTGTAACTTCCATTACTATTTAGTATATGTTGTGACGAGGGTCGAAGCTACAGTGTTGGTTGCAGGTTCGGTCGAATCCGGTAACTTTTGTTCAAACTCTGTATTTATATTAAGAAATTCAATGAATATGTATAAATAATTAATTTAAAATCCAATAATTTAAAATGATTATAATCCTGAACCTATAAAGTTCAAATCTTAGGTCGGCATCTGATTGTGACGGTCAAAATATTCTATTGAAGGTTCAAGTTTCTTGGCTATTTGCCATATTAATGTAATGTTTCTTGAGTACACCCCATTACAAGCACTACCAAATCATTCTATTGACTTAAGGAAAAAACAGAGAAAAAGGAATTACAATAATAAAGACTTTAGGCAGTTAGTCATTTGTCTACGCATAACTGACCAAGTTTTTTGGGAAACTTTTCTATTTTTGGGTCAAGTCAAGAATGACATTAGTATTTTACTATTGTATTGTATACTAAATATAATTTTTTATTTTTACTTGTCACTTTACGCATATCAAAAGAAGATAATTTTTTTCACGTTTTACCCTTAATTCATTAACTAACATTTCTTGAATAAATAATGGTATATTGTAGCCTTCCAATACTCAATATTGGAATTCACCGAGAATTCTTCATTATCCCCAATGTTAAATACAAAAGTCCACTAAAGTCATTTTTTATTATCTTGTTCTTTGGAATATTTTTTTCTTCAGAAATTATTTGGGAAGTTGGGTTCAATTAATATGGTTATTGTGGTAAAATTATCATATCAATCATTGTTTTTTAAGAGGATTGAAAAGTCAAAACGTGTCAACTAAACTGAACATGAAGGAGTATTTAAAATGGCAGGATATGCAACTTTAATGGAATGTCTTTAGTGTGTATATACTACTACATTATAAACACTACGAAATCATTTTTATTGACTTTGGTACAAAAATTACAGTAACAAAGACTTTCGGCAGTTATTCATTTTTCTACGCCTAAACGACCAAGCTTTTTGGGCAGTAACGGAACGAAGATTTTCATCGATAGAATTTAAGAAATAAAAAAAATTAAACACGCGAAAAAGTTAAGGGGATTCAACATCTTAATATATATACATGAAAAAATATTAACCTTATATACACGATGTAATTTTCGGCGAAGGAGGTTCGGTTGAAACCCCCTTCCGTCTACTTAGCTCCCTGGTTTTAGGATTTCTTTGAGGCGTAGACGAAGGTCCGAATTTGAAGTTTATGGATTCACTTGCTACTAAACATTTGAACTCATAGCTTTTATTGGGTTCAGACTTATTATTTATATAATATATATTTTAATGAATCTTCTAATACAAATATATAATCTAAGCAAAATTTATTAAGTTCGTCAACCCGTAACTAATATTCTAGCTCCGCTCTTGCTTTGAGCTTTTTTTGCTCAAAGTCAAGAATGATATTAGTATTGTCTTTACGAATCAAGGATAGTGGTCAGTGCTCCTTGACTTTGACAATTTCTTTGTTATTTTGCATGGTTTTCTTTTGTGACTAAAAACGTCTAGGTACATTGCACGTTAACATTGCCATGAACAGAGAAAATATTTATATAATTTAAATTCTAAATAATGAGAAGACAATTACTAGTACCTACATATAGAGATGGAATTGATTAGAGGCGGAGCTAGTATATTAGGCGCAGATTCGATCGACCTCAGTCATTTTTGTCTAAACATATTTGTACTAGAAAATTTATTAAATATGTATAAATATTTAATTACGAATCCAAAAATTAAGACGAGTTATATGTTATGTGACTAATTCAGAATCTATAAATTCTAAATTCTGACTCCGCTTATAATGGAAAGACATATATCATGCTTTATATAACAGAATGACTGAATCTTGAAACTTTGTTCCTATTAATTCCTATGTACTATGTATTCTTATGTGAAAGCAAATAGGAGAAAAACTCATTTCCTAATTATTTGAAGAGACAATATAAAATTGAAACCAAACACACCCTTAATCTTTAAGAGTTATCCACATACAAAAGAATATAGGATCCAAAATATAGCCTATTATTTTATACTTCAACAATATTTTATGAGATTATTATTATGACTTTTAGAGTGAAAGTCCTTTAAATCTAACGGCTACTTACTTTAGTATTAACAATTTGATGGACTTTCTTGTTTTAGTCGTTGCATCTTAATTTTTTTTTTTTTTTGGTTTTCATCCGTCATTCGGTATTCGCATTGGGGGTCCGACTAAATTCAAATGTGCACCGAGAAGCTCCACACTGGAGGGGGAGGGGAGAAGTACTCTCTAACAAAAGTAATTTCCTACCCACAACTCGAACATGAGACATCTGATTAAGGATGAATTGAAAATGTCTTACAATTATATCAATTTTTTCATAATAAAGAGTCCCAAATAAATTCAAAAAAGGTTATTCTCACATAATTCTTTTTTCTTCTTTTTTTCACTAAGGGCATCTCCAACCCTCCCCCATTTCTCCAAAATGCAGTCCTTTTTTGCCAAAATGCGGCTCCAATGCTCCCCCATTTTTGCCCCCAAAATGGGGGATGAATAGTGTTACTCCAAATTTGGAGTGACACTATTCATCTCATCCATTACTATTAATTTGTTGCTTTATTATTATTTTTATTATTTAACTCTTTTAATTTATCTCTTTATATATACTTAATTATGTTTATGTAATACTCTTTATAATATTAAATTTACATCTTAACTTTGGCGTATAATTTTGATAAATTAATTTTCGTGCATTTATTATCTTTATGTAAAATTGTAAGTTAATTTTATTATAAGTTATTTTTATGTAAATTAATTTCATTTATGAGAGCATACTAGAGGTGCAAGTTGAATATTTATGTAATATTTAATCCGAATTTTACCATAATGTAATATGTATTTAATTATCTTGTATCTCAATGATTTCACTTTTATTTGAATTATCCGTAATATATATAATCTATAATATTTGCTTACAAATTATATTATTTTTAAAAAGTATGGTATAAAATAATTTTATATTAAATCATATGTGATGAATATGTAAAAAAGAAAAAAGATAGAATTTCTTTAATAAAAATAAGAAAATAAAAGATAATAATATAATATTAAAAAGAGAGAAGAATATAAAATGGAATATTCTTCTTTGGAGTAAAAAATGGAGTAATGGTTGAAGTAACTTTACTCTATTTTGAAGGAGAAAATGGAGGCAAGGGTTGGAGATGACCTTAGGAGATATTATTTTCATCAGAGCAATAAATCACTTATAATTTATACATCAACAAACCAAAAAAGTCACGAATTTGGGGAAAAAATAT